GCTATGCTAAAACATCCATTGATATGAAATTATAAGAGATTTATGCCCGAAATGTGTCCATCTCCATCCCTCTTTCACTGTAACCAGCAAAATTACCCTACTTTTGTAAGTGTCTCTTTGTGACTAACATATGCAAAACCACAACATTCTAGCCCATCCCCATTTTAATCTTGGCTTTCTTTAAAGATTTCTTGTTTGGAAACAGGCGGAAATTTGGCTGTCGGTCAAACCTACTATGGAGTGTCTACCAAGATCTTTTCTAAGATCAGTTGGAGAAGGATGGAGAGACTTACATTGTTAAAATATAACGGCTTTATCATAGTCATTTCATGTTAAATAGACTACAGAGGGACTTTATTGCAAGAATGAAATAGGATCATAATAGGAGCTTTGGGAGAATTTTCACCAGAAGGCTTCTGATGTTGTTAACAATGCAGCTATGCCATGTCCAGGCGTCTCCTTGATACAACAGCCATTAAACAAACTGTTTAATAACTCATTAGTTAATCTGGCTGGCAAATAAGTCTGAGAAATGAAGACTGGAAGCAAAACACAGTGCGTCGGGCATGTGACACCCGCTTTTGAAGCTCTTTCCATGTAGCATTAGAACAAAAGTAGCATGCTAATATGACATTTACAAATAATTCCTAACCACAGCCTAATTAACTTATTGTGTGTGCTCTAAAGCAGCAGACTACATTACATTAGAAGACAGGACGGTGAAAGGGAAGAGCATTGTTGGTTCCCTTGCAAGGAAACTTAATATATTTGCTTATTTAACCAATTTATTTTGGAATGAAAATGACTTTTTTTTAAAAAAACAAAAAACAAACCTGAAACACAGAAACCATTTGCTGCAGTGTTTCTCAACCTTAGTGACTTGAAGATGTCTGGACTTCAACTCACAGAAGTCCAGGTTTCTATGCCATACTTCCAGAAGTCCAGATTTCCAGTTATGCTGGCTGGGGAATTCTGGGAGTTGAAGTCCAGACATCTTCAAGTCACCAAAGTTGGGAAACACTGCTTTACTGCATAATCAACTGTAAAACATTGGTCTATAGACACTGTACTGTTTTCCTCTTAGTTTGTGTTAAGGATGCTAAATGTTTGGATCCATCTCTTCATCCTAAACTGTGAAAGCAGTGCCCAGTTGAACACCCAGTCAGGCAGGCAGGGAAGGTATATTCTGGACACCATCAGTTAAGTGGCTTATACTACATTGGTGAGGCCATACTTGGAAGATGGCATCCAATTCTGGTCACCACAATACAAAATAGTTGCTGAGACCCTAGAAAGAGTGCAGAGAAGAGCAATAAAAATGAGAAGAGCTCTGTAGTACAAGGAATGGTTAAAGGAACTAGATATCCTGCAGAGATCTCTTACCTGAGCTTGGTTGTTTTCTTGCAGACAATTTCATGACCCAAACTACTGTAGGTAACATTTGCTAGTCTAATGAATGTTACCTAGCTTGAAAATTGAAAATTTTTCCCTACTGGCTGTATGGGCGTGGCTATGGCCATGGCTTGGTATGATAGTAATAGCAACTAGGAGCAACCGCGGCAAATTTTTTTACCAATTCAAATCGTCCCTACCATCTGTCCTGAGGTGGGCCAAGGTGGTTGAATTTCACCCTGCCCTACAAATATTCTCTGATTGAGATCCCTTTTCAACTCAATCGCTCTTTTCTGCCCTCTTTCTAGATCCAAATGTTTAATGGCCACTCCAAAAACTAAGAGGAACAAGAAGGAGCAACCAGCGAACTAAGTAAGTAAGGGCTCTGATCTGTAGATACTTACAACCAGTAGCAATTATTGTTGTTGTTATTGTTATTACATATGACTGACTCTCTCTCTCTCTCTCTCTCTCTCTCTCTCTCTCTCTCTCTCTCTTTCTCTCTCTCTCTCTCTCATTTTACTCCTTGCAGGAAAATGTCTTTATCTATTTTGATTATCAAAGAAAACCAGTAGATCCTCAGAGGTATGGAGCTCAAGAGAAGAGTCCTACCTTCTTCCTTTTATTTTGCTCTTCTGAATATTTCACAGAAATAGGGTTGACCATCCTTCCTTCCAAATGTCCAGGTTTATGTTTTAAGTATTCCGGCAGAAGAGAGAATAAAGATATATTTTTTCATTTGAAGTTGTTCACTGTTGAATCAAGCCAAGAGCAGCCCTTATAGGGAAGATGAAGAAGGCTTAAAAACTACTTGTAATGAAAAGGTCATCCTAGAGGCATCCAATTCACTATCCATCATGTCTAAAGCAAATTCTGAAATGTGAAAATGGTCAGCTTTTAATTTGATAGGCCGAGTAATCATTGCCTGTATTCTTCTGGAGTTGTAACGTGTATTGAGGCAGGTGAGATAAGGAGGAAATATGATAAACAACGATTTGGAAAATAATTTTGGGATCTAGGTATTTCCCCCCCCTTCCAAACACCAATCTCTCTTCTTGAAGACAACATATCCCTCCTCCTCCTCCCCTTCCTGAAAGACCTCTGAAGCATCTGCTCTGCATCTTTCTGTATATTTATTCCTCAATTTGCTTACTCAGTTCTGTTTCTTTGTGGTTTCCTGGAATCCTTGTGACAAAGCCACAGCTTTGGTTCCTGTCCTTTAACAGTGCTGCAGGGCCCTGCCCGACACACAAAATTTGTTTCTAATTTTACATCTGCCAAAACACATTCCAGAGGTTGACAAATACACGCCAACAAAAATTGGTTGGCAATTCCCGCAAGTCAAGCCCAGCCAAAAGGAAATCAAATAGAACCAAAACTGCAGCATAAATATTTTCACACTTCTTTTAGGCTGGGGAAATCGTTCTACCCAAGCAAGAAAGTCTGTTGGTTGGTTTTCACTGTAGATATTTCTCTTTTCTGGAAAATTCTAGGGTTTGGGGTTTTCACACACACACACACATACACACACAGAGAGAGAGAGAGAGAGAGAGAGAGAGAGAGAGAGAGAGAATGAGAGAGAGACTTATTGCCAATATGGGTCCACCAAAAGAACAAACGGAAATCTAAGCATCGTCAATGGAGCTTATTGGGGTGTATTTCTTTTTCCTGCCTGCTTTCACTCTGTTTGAGTTAACCAGGTTTGCTCTGACAGCGTTCAAAGGAAAAGAGGATCAGGGAGAAAGTCTCAGGGGTGGAATGTGCTGTTTTTGTGCTTTTTCAGTGACTCAGTGTCTTGGGGTTAGGTTAGTGTTTTTTGTCTCCCGGGATCTAATTCTCTTGCACAATTTTCAGTTTCTTTGCTTTCCCGGAATTCTGTTAGATCCTAAGGAGTTCTGTTTGGAGGTGATAGGTAGGTAGGTAGGTAGGTAGATGGATAGATAGATAGATAGATAGATAGATAGATAGATAGATAGATGATAGATAAGTAGATACTGTAGATAGATAGATGATAGACAGATGATAGATAGATAGCTGACAGATAAATAGATAGGTGATAGAGAGAGAGAGAGAGAGAGAGAGAGAGAGATACTGTAGATAGACAGATGATAGATAGAAACAGAGAGAGGTGGATAACATACATTGATGACAGATAGAGGGGGAAAGAAGAATAGGGGGATGGATAGATAGAGAGATAAAGAGATTTATAGTCAGACAGACAGACAAACAGACAGGCAGACAGGCAGACAGACAGACAATAGATATAAGGGATGGAGGGTTCCTTCCCAACTATTTAATCCCTCACTTGCAAACTGGAGTACCTCTCAATTAAGTCTCCTGAATTTCAAACATTAGGAAATTGACTAATGAGTCATTGGATGTCAGGGTTGCACCCCTCCACACACCAAATGTGAACCCATGATTAACCAAAAGTAATGTATAGAATTAAACCCTTTTCTTGGGTTTGTGCAGAACGCTGAGGATGGGTACAGAGTAGCTCCCCACATCTTGGCCTCGCCTAGAAAGCCATGTGACAATAAGAGCCGTGGCGAAGTTGTAGTTACAAACAGGAAGTCCTCTAACCTCATATAATTGAATCAGCAATCAATTACTTTTTGGCAGAGCTGTGATCTATAACTTTGTCCGACTAAGGGGAAGGCAGAGAAGCTCTTCTTTCGAGGAAAGTAGCAAGGGGATTGCAATGAACTGCAGAGAAGCCAAGTTGCAAAAATGGGGCGGTTGAAGAATATTTTTGCGGTAGCCCTTTGACCTTTTCTCTTATGAGTCCTGTAAAGCTTAGAGTGTTTACAAAGGAATGAGATTTTAAAAAATGAAAGCTTTCTTGTTGCAACATGCTGCAAAGACTGCCGGTCCGCGCCAGGTCTGAAATGCTTGTGTCAGTCTGCTCCCTAGCGTTAGGACTGGGATGCAGCAGCTCAGTTGGGTTAAAATAAACTTTGTATACAGCCGAGGATAGAAAAAGTCAGAGAGAACATAATTTCTCATCTCACCCAATGTATATTTGTACAATTCATGAATCCAGAACCATCTTTTACGGAATTAACCTAGCCACATTTCAGCCAGTGAAATCAATTCGCAGCAAATAATGCTCAATACATTGGAGCATTGAGATTCTCAATCCTCCAGGTCATGGTTGTCCCAAAGGTGCTGTTTTTTTTCAAGAGGCAACTCGACTTTCTTGGTTTTTCTTTGAAGACGTTTCGCTTCTCATCCAAGAAGCTTCTTCAGTTCTGGTGGGAAAGTTTTGGATGAGAAGCCAAATCTCTTCAAAGGAAAAACAAAAAGGAGGACCTGCTGCCTCTTGAAAAAAAATACCTTTGGGAGCACTGAATATTGTTCCAATAGTTGAGGGGCTCTGACAAAGGTGAAAGGGGGGTGGTGTTTCAAACTATTTTCCAAAGCACCAAAAGGCAAGATGAGAAACAATGGATGGAAATTAAGCTAGGAGAAAAGCAACCTAGGATGAAGGAGAAATTTCTTAATGGTGAGAGCAATCAACTTCAATTCTGGAGCCAAGTGGACGTCCGGTTCCCCCACCATAGAGTCTCCTTCTAGCACGGCGTCCTTTTTCCGTTTACCAACTGGAGACAGGGAGCCACAGAAGTGGGATGAAAGAGCCGCATGCAGCTCTAGAGCCACGAGTTGCCAACCCCTGGCCTAGGGAAGAGGCCCATTCTGAATCTGGTGTACCAGTAAAAGAAAAAAAAAAGATGATCATGGGAAAATAATGCAGAATGTTATCATCTCTATCCTCCTATGCAAGTTCAGCTTTGAAGTAGTTAGTTTTTAGTTATATTTTAGTTATATTTAGTTGTATTCATCAGTCATATTCAATTTCTGAATTTGAATCCAGGCTTTCTTTAAAAAAAAAGCAAAAAAAAAAACATGTAGAACTTCCCATTAATTTTCTCTGCATGTGTACAATGATTATTAAAAGGCTACTAATTATTACAAGCATAACTTCACCAAAAGTTAGCCGAATTGCAGATGAATTTTCCATTCCATTAAATGTTGGCATAGCAATCACAGGAACAGGAAATAAACAGCCTGGTGATTTTATGCCTCTGATTTACAATTTCAAATCGCTGTTGTATTTTTTTTTTTTTTTAGCAAATCTGAACTTTGGATTAGTGCCACAGTAAAAAGCAGAAGTAATCCATTAGTACAATATTAAAATTACATTTTAATATCAAGTACCTGAGACCAAAAAAAAAAAAACCCTATTAACCCTCAAGCCAATGACTATTCATTAGCTAAGTCAATTTTGAATCCCATCAGGGTTCACATTGTACAAATTCGCACTGAAATTGATTTACTAAACCAGGGGCTTTGATGGTTCTGAAATTAAAAGGAGTAAAGAAAGGATGCTACTAATTGAAGAACATAATTTGATTGCCTGTACAGGGTGTGGAACCTAATGACGATGGGATGGCAGTTTTAATTAAAGATAGTGGGCAGATTCACAAGGGTGTAACACTCAAGATTGAAAATGCATTTGTATGATGGCCACTTCTCTGGAGTCCGTTCCTTCCAAAGCTGAGATCCACTGTTGATAAGATGAAAACGGTGCGGATCAGTGGTCCCCAAATCTAGGAATTAGGATTACAGGTTCCACTGGGTGGGATTAGAGTCCTGAAAGATCAGGTTCACGGTATATGTGAAAGAATGTACTAAGGAGGTAGATTCTCAGAAGGGAGAAGTTGCATTCCAGAGAGGTAAGGGGCAACTCAGTCTGGATGTTACAGGTGAGAGAAAGAGGCTGAAGACAGCTCCTCCTTCATATTTTACAGAATAGGTTGTAAATGCAGATTGTAGAGTCCTTAGTCTGGCAGGATTCCATCTGTAGATGTGAAAACAATAAAGAACTCTGCTTGGAAGAATTACAAAATTTCAATATTTAGTTTTGGGCCTGACAGTAGATGCTCTTAAATCCATGATTGTCTTTGGACACAACAAGAAAGCTTCCCCGAAGAAGCACAGTTGAATGTAACAACTCTCTTTTGTTCATTTTTCCTGATCGACGTGGATCCTAGTTCCCATGTGAACTATCATTCTCTCCTATATCAGAATATTTCCCACTCCTTTCTTATTGAGGAGAACAATGGTCAGCCAGCTAGTCCACAACCCAACCGATCACAAATGATCAGCTGGATCCTCTTTTTGCTTGAGAGAGACCTAGTGATATCCAACAGGCAATTTGATGGATCAGAATGATTTCTGGGTCACAGATCTCTCTAGAAAACCCCCTAACGAGGTTGAGAAAGATTTTGCAAGAGAGATGTAGAGCAGTCTAAGAATGAATACGAAGGAGAAACTGCATTCTTGGACTTGATCGATGGCTGACCTCTGCATTTTATTCCTGAAAACAAAACAAAAAGCAAAAAAAAAACAACAACTTGCATATATTTAGTCTCATACAACTTCAATGTACCGAATTGGGGTTATTTTTTTCCCCACCTCCCCTCTTTGTCAGTGATTTGGAGGTGCTTGGCATTCAGAAAGATTTGTTATGTAAATGATCTCATTGTATGCTTCCATATTTTAACATCAAATGGTATGATTGACTACAGAATTCAAACTGTCTACAGGTTGGGGTGGATCAATTATCATCTGAATTATCACACTGCCACACAAGAATAGCATAGCTGTGGAGTGTGTCATACTTTTATCTCTATGCATTTCAATGAAGTCAGGCTGGTACATAAAAAGGTTATCACCTAGGAAACATATTTTCCTAAGCAGAAGTTAAACATGCAAGCGAGATCTGCATAGATATTCAATTTAGCCAGTCAACCCGAACCTATTAATATTTTAACAAAATCCAGTGAGGATAATTTTTTTCTTCTTTGATCCCATTTCATTCAGCCGGCCTGGGAAAAGGGAAGGGGAAAAAAAAAAAAACCAAAATAGTCAAGCATACAGAATGAGGTTATGTATTAAGTGGGCTATTTAATGTTTCTGGCATTTCACAGCCCTAAGGGAAGTGTGGATGGATTTAACAATCAAGATCGGTGTTTCTCTGGGACCCACAAAGTTCGAGGAACATAAAATAATCTATACTTCCAGCTTGACAAATTGTAGCTGACATTCTGCTTCATCTCGCCAGGACTCTTTAGATCAACGTTAATCATCTGTTACAGGGCGTAAGAAGAAAAGTAAATCACACTTAGTTGTTAAAGTGAGATGGGAGGTATTCGGCAGAGGTTTTAATCAATAACGCCCAGGATAATAACCAGCAGCTATTGTTCAAATCCTCAGATATTAAAAAGGGAAAGAGGCCAGATACAAAACAATCAGATGAAGTTGAATGGAAATTTCAGGGAGTGGAAAAGACCAAAGCTTGGAATACTGCATTCAGTTTGGGTCACCACGTTACAAAAAAATAATAATAATACTCTGAGGCTCTGAAAAGTGTGCAGTGTGTAACTGCAATCCAAAATAAGTTGCGAATTCTTGGTTTACAGCCTTAGATGAAAGGTACCACGGGTAGAGAAAGGGATAACAGAAAGGGATAACGGAGAGACAGAATCAAGATCATGTAACATTCTAGTACTGTTTTACAAATCCTTAGTAAGACTACACCTCTGCATCCAGTTCTGGCCACCACAATACAAAAAAGATGTTAAGACTCTGAAAAGAGTGCAACTAAGATGATTAAAGGCCTGGAGAATAAAACATATAAAGAACAGTTTCAGGAATTGGATTTGGCCAGTCTAGAGAAAAGAAGGAATATTTGAGGGGCTGTCACAAAGAAGATGGGGTCAACTTATTTTCCAAAGCATCAGACGGCGAGACAAGAAACAATTGTAGTTAGTTGCGAAGTCATGTCCGATCCATTGCGACCCCATGGACAATGGATAGAAACAATGGATGGAAACTAATCAAGGAGAGAAGCAACCTGGAATTAAGGGGAAGCTTCCAAACAGTAGGACAATTAACCAGTGGAAGGGCTTGCCTTCAGAAGCTGTGGTGCTCCATAACCAGCGCCATCTTAATGGCATTATGGCCCCTGGGCAAAGCAGTGTACTGGGGCTCCTATTGCAACTACTCCCACGAATAGAAAGGAATGGTATGAATGGCTGACATTGCACCTGTGTTGAACCAAACAGCCAAGCTCAGAAATGACCAAGGACATCATAGTTCAACCCTAAGATACTGTCATGCTCCTGTTAGAATCTGACTCTGAGGGAGAGGAGGAACAGCTGACAGGGAGTGGGAGTGTAGTTCCAGAGGTTGGGGAGGAATTGGGAAGGGCACAGGCCAGCTGGGCATTCAGAGGAAGACGCAGGCCCATCCCCTCTTCATCCTAGGGCACACAGGGAGGAGCAGATAAGGGAGAAATGTAAATGGCATGGTCTATGGGGAGGAAAGAGCCTTGATCCCCTTCATGGGTTGCAGCTGTAAGGACTGTTTAAAAGGACAAACTGCGCATGGCCCCGTGCTGGAAGCAAAATGTGAAATAATTCTAGTCTTTCAGTTCTTATCTGAGTTCTGGCATCCTTCCCAGTGTGTTTAGTTCGATATCTGTAGACATCTTCAAGCCCTTATCCTGCCTTGTCTTATTAATTGTTCAAGTGTCGTTTGTGTTGTTGTTTTTTACTATTTATAATTTATATGTATTTTGAGTTTGAACAAAAGTTCTTCCTTTTAATAACTGCATGTGGGGGAGTTTTTTCTCCAGTCAGTGATAATTGGACCTTTGAAGCCAAGTTGAAGGAATTAAAGGGACTTCACCTGTTTTTGTGACTTTGTTGCTCTTGTATCCCACCCTGGGTCATCACAGACACATATATTCTTTTCTGTTGGAATATTATGCATTATCTGTCTTGCTTCACCCAGACGGCTAAGCCAAAATCAAATAGACCATATGATTTGCTTGCTTTATATGCCAAACCCAACTGTGTCTGCTTAATTACAGTTCTTAATAAATCACAATTCCAGGTTGCAGACTAAGATATAAACCTTGGTTTACAAACTACCATGGTTGGATAAGATACCCTAAACCTAGCAGAACGAATATAACGGTTTATTAGATTGTATGAATTGAGTCATTACAATATACTTTTTTTTTAAAAAAAATAGTCTATTCACATATTGAGCATTTCAACACATTCAATAATATTCAACAAGTTTTAATAATCCATGCTGTAGAGCTGAAACAGTCTACCCGTAAGTAAGACTTGATCTTTAAGAAAAGGGCAGTAATATGTTTATGGAAAAAGACAGCAAGAAAGTAGAATTTTGCGCTGTTGCTGACCTTGTCACAAGTGATACTTTGGGTTACATGGGAAAACGTCAAAACCATGAAGCATCATACATGAAACAGATTTGGGTCCAACCTGAAAGAATTCTAAATATAAAAATACAGAAGAGAAAATATGCCAAGCTGGATTGTTCCTCAGAATGCTTGAAGAGATGAATAAACATTCTTAAATTAAGTATTGACCAGAAGAAGATGAAAGGAATCTAAGCATGTAATCTTATCTTGGCTTATTGGGAGTAATCACAATGCAAATCAGGGATGCTTTAAGTACAAGCTTTGATTTAAGTTTCAGTCCCTGAAAATCTACTTTTCTCTCCATGTTTGTTTCACTGAGGATCTATCAAGCTGAGGATCTAAGCGTTCATCCAACTTTTTCAGTCTTAGTGATTATATTTTAGGCTTTATATATCATTGTAGTTTTTTTTATAATTGTTGGATGTGGGGGAGAGGGAGGGGAGAGTGAAAGAGGGAGATGGAAGGGAAAAGGGGGAGAGAAGGGGGAGAGAGAGAGAGATGGAAGGAGATGGAGATGGAAGGAGAGGGAAGAGGAGAGAAAAGGAGAGAGGGAGAGACAGTGGGAAGGGGAAAGGAAGAGGGAGAGAGGGAGGAGAGAGAAAAAGAGAGAGAGTCAGAGAGAGGGAGGGGAGAGGGAAAGAGTGGGAGGAGAAAGAGAGTGAAGGAGATGAAGGGGAGAGAAAGGGGAAGAGAGAAATAGGAGAGATAGAGGGAGGGAGGGAGAGAGGGAGAGAGAGATGGGGAAGATGAAGAGAGGGAAGGAGAGGAAGGAGGAGAGAAAGGGAGAGAGGGAGAGACAGAGGGAGAGGGAAAGAGATAGGGGAGAGAGAGAGGGAAGAAGGGAGAAAAAGAGAGAGGGAGAAAGAGGAATGGGGAGAGGGAGAGAGAGGGAGGAGAAAGAGGGAGGGAAGGAGGGGGAGAGAAAGGGGGAGAGAAAGGGGGAGAGGGAGGCAGAGAGAGGCTACCTTAATATACCTATCATACCCTAATATACCTATCATATCCTACCTTAACCTACCCTACCCTATCCTATCCTACCCTACCCTATACTATCCTATCCAACATGAAATGAAACCAAGGATTGAATGTACTGATTCATAAAGTAAAGGTAAAAATTCCCCTCACACATATACGCTAGTTATTTCTGGCTCTAGGGGGCAGTGCTCATCTCCGTGACAAAGCCAAAGAGCCAGCACTGTCCGAAGACGTCTCCGTGGTCATGTGGCCGGCAGGACTAAATGCTGAAGGTGCACAGGGCTGTTACCTTCCCACCAAAGTGGTCCCTATATTCCTACTTGCATTTTTACCTGCTTTTGAACTGCTAGGTTGGCAGAAGCTCGGACAAGTAACAGGAGCGTATTCCGTCACGCAGCGCTAGTGATTTGAACCGCTGAACCGCTGACCTTTCTGATTGACAAGCTCAGCATCTTAGCCACTGAGCCACCTGTTGTGGTTAGCCGGCAGCAGGTGCAGGTGGCTGAGGAGAGCAAGGACTCTGATGAAGGGCCAGGACCATCAGGAAGTGGACAGCTGCCTTCAGGGATTGTGGGAGCTGGCACCAGTGATGAGGAGGTTCCCGAGGAGCCTGTGCCAAGTGCATGTGCACGAAGGATTGCTCGGAGGAAAGAACAATTACAGCAGCACAGGCAACTCGGGAGTAGGGCTGCAAAGTAATGGCCCCTCCCGCAAGAGGATAAAAGCCAGGTTTGGAAAAGCATTCTTTGCAGACAGCAAAGAAGCTCTGAAACTCAACTGGTGGACATCTTAGTTCGTGTTTGGAGAATTTTGTAAATTAGTTCTTATCTCTGGGTTTTTGGCAGCCTTGACGAACAACTTGGCAAGGGTCTTTCTTGTCAGAGCTAATTAGTGGAAAGCAGCCTTCAGAACAGAATTCGTTATTCAACCTTAAAAGGTGGGGGCTGCTGCCTTGGTCTGTGTTTGTTCTTTGGGAACCCAGTTGGGTCAGAACACCACAGTGTCCCTTTTTACTGATTCAGAGTTATTGGACCTTTCACTATTCTTAACTACATTGGGCTCTTCTTAACTATATTGGGCTCTTACTGGGTCTGCAAAAGAAACTGACCAATCAACTAACTTTGGTGTGGGGGGGGAACCCTTAGAAGATGTTCAAGATGTTGAACACAATTACTTCACTCTTGACAGAATAAACCTGAATAAGAATTCAAACCCATCTCTTCTCTGAACCATCATGTTTTGAATGATAAGCTAAAAGCAAAGAAACCCATGTCAGGTTGAGCACCAGTAAGTATATTGCTGGGTGGTATACAACTACCTCTACCTCACCTCTTCTTCCTCCTGGTTGTCTCTACGTAACCCCTCAGAGGATAACCAGGAAAAAGACAATGGAAAGAAAAATGAAAGTTTTCAAAGGAATCAGGTTCTGTGATTAGTAGTAGACTTTTGACTTAGCCAATTTATTTGGATTCGAAACATATTGGATTAGGAAGCCTATATAGTGTGCAACCCTTTCTCAATTACATAGAAAGCTTGCTTGGCTTTTAGAAAACATGGCCTTTTACATGAATCCTGAGGCTTAAAAACCTCTTACAACTGGATGGGGAATTGTGTCTTGCATTGTTGTTGTTGTTGTTGTTGTTATTATTATTATTATTATTATTATTATTATTATTATTTTATTATTATAACAGCTGCAGCAGCTGTGGCGGAAAGTGCCTTGTCTCTTTTCCTGAGAAAGAATAATTCATTTCATAGATATTCTCCTCAGCTATTAATCTTTCAGGGTGTAGTTAGTGTTCTGATATTTTTCAGATATTGTTTTATAGGGGGATTTAGAAGTAGATCTCTCCTGGCAAGCTGAAAGATTATTCAGTGATTATAAGTAACTCAATACTGTATGACAGCATTTTCATGCAAGGGACTTACAATCATGTTTCATTAATTCAGCTTGAGCGAAACCTCATTTTGGGCCTTCAGGAGCTTAAGATTTATGTGAAATTAATAACATAACAGATGTCTTCACAATTTGGTTCCTCTAGAAAACACACACACACACACACACACACACACACACACACGAAAAGACCCTGATTACTTTGAAAACTTCATTGCTTTACAACGTGACCGAGGGAGTTGTCCTTCTCCAGTAAAAGCACTCTTTGTTTTTCTCATCCATCTTTCTGAAGTCAGTAGAATTTAAAAATCAGCTTTAAGTTAAAGCATCCAAATTGTCATTGCTGGGTATAATAAACCAAAAGCCCTCCCTTCTCAAAAGGGTGCTCTTATTTCTGGTAATAAGAAACATAGGACAGTTAAAGTAAAAAAATAAAGATTTTTTTTTAAAAAGAACCCTAAACTGTTCAACAGTAAGAAAGCTTACAACATTCAAGAAATCGGTTGGTGTGGATTGCTTTCCTTCCTTCCTTCCTTCCTTCCTTCCTTCCTTCCTTCCTTCCTTCCTTCCTTCCTTCCTTCCTTCCTTCCTTCCTTCCTTCCTTCCTCCCTCCCCCCTCCCTCCCTCCCTCTCTTCCTTCCTTCCTTCCTTCCTTCCTTCCTTCCTTCCTTCCTTCCTTGCTTCCTTCCTCCCTCCCTCCCTCCCTCCCTCCCTCCCCTCTGACTTTCTCTCCATTTCATTTCCTTCCTACCTTCTTTCCCTCTGTTTTCCTTTACTCGCCTCCTTCTTTCCTCCCCACTCGCTCCCCCCTTCATAGTTTAGTCATCTTTTCCTCTCCAAAAAATAAAACAGATCTGGACCGGCATAAAAAGTTCCCTTCTCTCAAGAGCTGAAATTGTCTCTTGCAGAAGTCTCTGTCTAAAACCAAAAGCCTTATTTGTTTTATATTATTTTTATAGGACTCTTTAAACAAGGGATGTGGTTTGGCCTTAGACTGCAAGGCAATAAAACAAAGCAGTGGGTTTCTGCCATCCTTCCCACAAGCGAATTCTATTATCTGGGATTCAGGAAAGCAGAACATCCTGTAAAGTTGGGTTTTAATATGTCTGCAGTATATGCTTGCAGTGATTTTAGAAGAAACTTTCTATGAGTTTAGCCCCCTGAGTTTAAATTGTAACAAGAATTGAAATGGGAAGATAGGTGATCAATTTGCTTTCAAGGGAGGAAGAGAGGAAGATCCTGGAAGAGATGGATGGATGGATGGATGGATGGATGGATGGATGGATAGAAGGAGAGCTGGAGAGATAAATGGATGGACATATGAATAGATGAGAGGAAAGGTGGAAGAGAGGAAGGAATGAAGTAAGAAAGGAAAGAGAAGAGGGGCAGGGGAGAAGAAGGAAGTCCACAAGATGTGTTCAAAAAAGTCAAAGGAAGGAACAGAAAGAAGGAAGGAGGGAAGGAAGGAAGGAAGGAAGGAAGGAAGGAAGGAAGGAAGGAAGGAAGGAAGGAAGGCCCAATGCATCTTGGGTTAGACAATTTAGAAAGACCATAGTTATCAGCATTAATTTGGAAGCTACCACCTTTGAAAGTTGCTAGTGGCACATGATAGCAGGCCTCCTCATTTTTGGGGTGAAAGAAAATGCACTGAATGTCATGGAAAGGAAATGAATCCTTTGTCTATGTCTACATCGGAGTTACAGTAGTGGGTTTATATGCCCTAGGTCAGGAAGCCAACTTCAGAGTCCCATTTGGTCTCCTCTTTCGCTCGAGGCCTTCAGGGCAAGTGAGAAAACTTGAGTCGGCCTATTCTGAAGTGCAAAATCAATATGGAATAGATGCCTTATATAATCTCCTTATGCAGAAATCCACTGAGCAAAATTATAATTTGATATGGCTCAGCTTGGCCAATAGAAACTCATAAAATGTCTTAACATCATAATACATTGTACAAAAGAATCACTAAGTACCATAAACCATATGGGAATATGGGTCGGTGTGGCTCTATTACGTTCTGCCAGTGCCGCATATTAAAATGATTTCTATTTAAGTGCAACGTTCCCTGAGGAATATTCCGGTCTTAATTAAAATGTCAGTAATAGAAGCGGGGGAGGGGGAAGGCAGAGGTCCACCAGAGACTCCTTCATTTAAAAAAAAAAAGGAGAAGAACTCTTTCAGACAGCTCTTTCTTAACTCATTCATTCCACTTCCAGTTTGGGGGACATTTATAAAAAAAGAATAATCCATGTAATTATCCTCTTTGTTTTGGCATCGGATGGGGATATAACAGTGAAAGTAAATAATGGATGATATCTGTGTAAGATTGAAGTAACTGACATCTCCACTAATATGATGAGATACAATATGGTCTCTCAAACTTACATCACCATCCTTGTAAGGTATGTTGTCCTTGGATGAGTAGGAAACAAACATAATTTGAGAGTTATGTCCTGAAGATGGGGGTCAGGGAGAGAGAGAGAGAAAGAAAGAAACATATTTCATATACTGTGTTTTCCTTTAAATTTTCAAGGAATTTAATAATTGTGCACACCTCTTTTTAGAAGAAAGTATGATTAAATGAGTCCCCTTATGCATAGAGTTTCATTTCAAGGCTGCTATCTATCTATCTATCTATCTATCTATCTATCTATCTATC